TGCGAATAGTTAGGGAAGTTAAGCAACTAACTCGACAACGGCTATAACAACTCTTTTGACGTTTGTCGTTGCCGTTGTGGTTTTCTCTTATAAGCTGGTTTAGAAAAAGAACAAAGCAATTTGTCTAATTTCGGTCACGCCCTATCTACAGACCCCATGCCGACGCTCCCAGCATCTTGAAGTGCTCATGCAATGAACCTCGCATGAGATTAGGAGAGCCTCTAGCATCAGATATCATTCTGTAAGCAACTGATAAACATGGCAACAAAACAGGCAAGGTGAACAATTTCCTTTCAGAATCTCTTCTCTTTGGCAAAACCAACCTGCAACAATTGTTTCAGTAATTCGTTTTAGTTTTTAATCAACAAAATTATTTGATTGTTTTCTCGTTTTCTGTGTTCTGTGTTCAGTTTTTCTCGTTCAGATTCGTCAGTTTTTTAGTGATTCACTCCTATTTTCTTCCGTGTATTCTCTAGTTTCCAGACCACGTATTGCCAGAGTTTTATGTTTCCTCAGGTGGACTGAACAAATTGCATACCTTTCCTTTTATTTCAATTTGTCCAAAAAAAACTGTAACATGTTTGCCAGGCTTGTTGGCCATCACCCTCATCATGTTTTGCTTGATTGTCTTCTCATTTGCTATTTTGTTATGCTTCCTCCTACAGTATTCATGTACAATCGTTTCTTTTTCATTAGTCAGTTTCAAACCATTTTTTCCCCTTTTTTCGTTCTCTGGATTCTTTTAGCTTCCCAACCACGTCTTGCCAGAGTTTCATGTTTCATCAGACGGGCTGAAAGAACGAGAAGTCCAGTTGGGATTCACGGCAGTAAGTACCGGCCGATTTTTTCTGATAACCGACTCTTTTTGTCATTCATTCTTGCAAGGAGTCTACTTATTGACTGCGTGCTCAAGCTGTTGTACATACTGGAAGTCGCCCAAAATGGTTGAAATGGTAATTTCGAGTTAAAGGGGCTTTGTCACGAAATTTTTCAAAATTCAAACATTGAGAACTGCCACCAGATATAGTGAAACAAAAGTAACCACTTAAAACGTTAAAAGAAGGATTAAATAACACAAAGTACAAAAGGAGGTAGGCTTGGACAAAATTGAATTGGCCGCTCTTTAAACTTACGTCGAACTTTTATAGCCTCTTACTGTCTCCATTGCCTTTCTCTTCGTTTGAGTCATTATTTCAACAGACAAACATCCGAGATTCTGCAGTAATTCGAGCCCAGGTTTTTTCAGTTGCCCAGAATGTTCCAAAATGGCGGCAACGCGTCAATAAAGGTTCGTTTTCCCATGGAACAGTCTGTACCAATAAGTTCAAATACCTTTTGGGGACCCCCTTTCTTGGACCCCTTTCTTGAACAAAGGCCCCCTAAAACTAGGTATACCTATCGATAGAGTGCCAATGAGCAAATCATGCGTATTTTGCTTAGGAATAAAATTCCTTTTTTTTCCCATTTGACCGTTTCTTGGTCCCTTCCTGTTGCAAGGATTATTTTCTTGAAAAGTTCTCAGATTCAGTGGCTTTACAAACCTGCTATGTAAAAGTGTGAAGTGCCTTGAAAGAATAAAGTCAGCTTTGCAGAGGAAGCGATCGGGAATATTATTAAGTCCAGCTACAAATCTACTGTCGGTTCGGTTTCACATTGTTGATAAACATTTGCACAGTTTAATCATTTAAACCTCCTTTCAAATTTCCGGAGGCTTTTTGTTATCGGATTGAAACTTAAAATGATTCGCTGGGCCATCTGAAATGTTTCCAAGGACATGCGATGTACGGCACGTCGGTATTTAATTTTAGTTCATTATTTTTATACTGAACTCGGCGACGCTTCGAAAAAAATGGCGTTGTTTTCTTTTCCTTTGTCGTTCGCTTTAGGCTTGTAATTCGTTTTTGTTCTCATTGTTTTTGTTTGCTGGTTAGATTTTTCCCCAACACCAGATTTTCCAACAGAAGTGACTGCATTCTTCGTGTCAAGCTTTCCTAATCTCCTCGTGTAATCTGATCCTTTTTAGTGGTGAGAATATTGCTTGCTGCACATAGAACACTTTTGCTGTTTTACAAACTTCTCTTCGTTAAAACTTAACATTATGGCCCCTAAAATTAATAGAATATATCAAGTGCTCATGTCTCTTGACTGCGGTGGCCGGGTTTGACGAAAAAATTTAGGTAAATAAACACAGGAAGTCACGACGGCGGGAAGTGTGAGAAATTTTGTTTGTTATTCAACTTGAGCCCGTGCGCCTGGTACTGCCTTTTGATTGGTTCACAACTGACCGCTTGGTCTCAGGGGAATCTACATTACATTAGGTTACACTTTTTTCAGCTCGATCGAGATTTTTTCTGCCTATTGCCCAGTCTTGCGCGGCTCTATTCTGCTGCCGCCTCGCCATCCGATCGTCTTCGCTCGGATGGCTTGTTGGCAATTACAGAAGGGGGCCCATTTGACCCTCATTGGCCAATTTTTAGAATCAACCCTGCTTCTGGTAGCATGACTCTGCCAAGGAATTGCGTTTGACGTCTTAGTTGCTGTATTTGTATCCTTTGCTTACAACCTTGCTGTGTTGTGTTTTGTAGGATGGTAATATCGTAATCAAGAACATTCAGTTTGAGGATGGCCCACTTGGACACAGAGAGGTCAGCATTAAATGGAAGGATCTAACATGTTATCAAAGACTAGAGGTGAGTATTTTAGTATTTTTATCATAGATTGCGTGTTTGAATATCTCTTGTAATTTTAAGGTTAAACTTCACGAGTGCAGAATCTAATGCAAATGAGCGAGAACAATAAAATTTTCCTTCTAGTAGAAACCAAAAGTTACGGAATGTGGGCGACAACGATCGAAGGTCAAGACGCTTTTCCTCCAACGCTGTGCTTAGCGCAAGTTTCACCTGACAGATGGTTAAAACACGCGTGATCAGTTTATGAGTGATAGAAGGGCCAAACGTGCGTAATGAGCATTCCATTCATTCTAAGTCCAAACGAATGCAGGCTACATACATGCGATGCATGCGTAATAACAACCTGTATATTAGGATTGCGTACCCCTCTTATCGCCTGCAATTAGCGTCAATTTCGGCACATGTCAGTGAAGTTCGACGTTTAGAACGGGCCTAAGAGAAATCATCACTTGCCCTAATTAGGCATGGATAACTTGTCGACGAGGTTAATAAACTAATAAAATGATGTAATGAACAAGAAAGTTAAATTCTCTTAACTAATTATATAAGGAATTGTATAGTTCAGTCTGGAGTATTTATATGTGGATGTACTCGACTACTTATCTCCCTCCAATGTGACGCGGGTTCATCTGAGGCGGACGGTAATGTTGTGTTTGTTGATGCTTCTCTCCCCCGTGGCTGATTCTTTATCGTCACGGTGTTGCTCCTTCTCTCTCTTGCTTCAAGAGAGCATGGTAGTTTTCCTCTCGCCCCAAAAACCAACAATAGGACAATTGCCCGGTAACGTCATTTTACTACAACTACCAGAATCCTTGAGTTTGTTGTTTTCTTGTGCAAATGAAGGCTATTGTTTTTTAACCCTCAGCGGGATTGACAAATTTAAGTAGCAAAGCAAAACCGAAATGAATTCTGGTAGTTGTAGTCAAATATCGTTATCGTGCAGTTGTCCTATTGCAAATGGCAATTCGCCAGATGTGTACAAACATGCGAAACCCAGATATTTTTAAATTTACGCGTACATTATACAAACGTTTTAGATGTAGAGCAAGTGCATCCATGTTATGGTTATTCGTCTACTAATCTTGATCGTATTCGACTACAAAACAGTCGTTTTTTTTTTCTCAAAATCGGTTTAGTGTAGCTTAAGAATCTCACACGCGCGAAGAGCGCCAGCCTCACACGATCTCTTCAGTATCGCTCTCCGTTTTCAGTCTCGCTCCAGACCTTTTGTTTGACTGCTCGCGCATACTTGAATACGCAAGAGTACCGACCGTTTTGCAGTCTATGATCGTATGGAAATGTGGAAATGTTGGTTTCGCAGAGAGGGGGAAATCGGAGTACCTGGAAAAAAACCCTTTTGAACAAGGAGATAACCAATATCAAACTCAACCCACTTATGGTCTCGCTTCTGGGACCCAGCAACATAAGTATAAGGCGGGTGGCCTCTTTCTTGCCTTCCACTTGCAGCTTACTTGGAAAAACTAAAGGCCCAGATTTTTGCAAGCGCCAACGACGCAAACCTATTTGTGAGAGCAAGTTGTCATCATTCAATTTAAGTTTTTGACCAGACCTAAATTTTTGGTACATTAATGTTTGGTTTTCAGGTTATTGCAGGCCCACCAGCGAAGCTCAAGATTCTAAAGTTTGATCATTCTGAGGTAGGTATGAAAAACGCGTGTCTTGGACCCAGTGTTTCAGTGTTCCATGTTCAAATTTTGAACACTGAGTTCAGTCTATCATTGTGCGAGTCCCAAACCCATTGAAAGAGCGTCCTATTGACGCTTGGAGCTTGGAGCCGCACGTGACATTAGATTAAGAGGCATACGCACATTTTAACCATGACCTCTTTGACTCTCCAACTCATAGATAACATCGCAACACTTTCACGCACAGCAAGGTTGGGTATGAAGTCTTTTTCTCTCCTCACTGAGTTAGAGAGCTTTCCATTTGTCAGAACTGACCGGCCAGGACATTCCCGTTGTAGTGAAAATCTTACTTTTTATCAAAGCTATCCAGCCAGATCAGTCAAATTCTAAATAGTATGCATCAAAAACTCTGCAAAAAGCCCATTTTATTTTCAAAATGACTGGTCCGGCCATGGTCCAGCCGGCCAGTTCTGACTTTTGAAAAGCACCCTAAGTTAGAGTGCACGTGGAGATTGCCTCGACCTCTTACCTACTGTAGTACAAAACAACATTGCTTGGAAAGCTTTCTATGCGTTATCAAGCCTGCTCTTGTACAAACTCGAGTGCATAATGTGATTTATTTTTACTTGTTTTACAGCCACTTTCAGTGTTTAACGATACCAAGATGCCATTTCCCCTTACTGTTCAACTGTGCGACAAGCTTGAAAACCCTTCAGATGAGCCTAATGTTAAGGTGGTCCTTAATACGGACAGAGGAATTAAGGTGGGAATCTAAACTTTTGTTATTCAATTAAAATTTGACCAAGCCTTTAATAGTTTGGTCTCCCTTGAATAAATAAAGTTTCAGTAGCCTGCGTAGCAGGCGCTTGGAAGTAGTGGGCCCGAGAAAAAACGGGCGCGCGAGAAGGAGACACGCGTGCCTCCCTCGCGCGCGTCCGTTCTCTGTTTCGCCTACTACTTGCAAGCACCTGCTACGCAGGCTACAGTTTCAGTCGAACCTCCACTAATGACCACCTCTCCACAACGGCCCCTTTTTTAGTCCCAGCGGACAATCCGTACATTGACTTTTGTCTAAACCTCTCAACAACTGCAACGGCCACTAAAGCGTGTTTCCAAGTTCCAAAATAAGGGAGTTTAAGCAACGAGGACGACGACGGCAACGAGAACGGCAAAAAGGCAATAGGTTTACCGTTAGATTAGCAAAAAACAACTTTGCACGTGCATCACGCTTTTTTGTACATTTCTCAGCCGTCGTTACACGACTACAACGTGAAAGTGCCTAATTTCACGTTTTGTCGAGGACGGGAACACAAGACAACAACTTTCCTTTTCTTTTCCTGAACTTTGATACAATCCTTCAGAATTCAACTCCAAAAAAAATTGCCCACATCTGACGAATTAAAGTGACGTTTTCATAGCCGTCGCCGTCGTTGTTGCTTAAGCTCCCTATTAGAGACCTTTAGCATCAGGTAAACCGCAAACCGCGGTTACGCGTTTGCAGTTTCGCGTTGCCGAGATTTCAAACTTTAGCAAGGCGTTAAGTTCAGTTCAGTTCATTTTTATTTAGCCAAAATACAATACAATACAAGAATACATATAGGAATTGTAAGGTTGCAAGGGAGCTCAGAAGAAACCAGAAGGCTTTATGAAGCATGGGCTCCCCAGTCTAAAAGAGATAAGCAAAATAAAATGATATTCGTGGAGTGATACGTTAAAAATAGGAACCAAACAGAGACTGAGTTAAGTTATGAATTCAGAAACACGATAGAAAAAAAAAATTAACTCTGGATTGGAACAGAATACTTTCCTTTGTTAGTACGGCAGAAAAGATTTGAACTACGCGTTCATTGTTTAGGGCCGCCATGTCGTTTTCATCAAGTCGAAGTGCATCACTTTAATCGCCCAAAACTCAGCAATAATTCATTGATTCGAGATCAAAAATCCAACAAACACATCGCAAACGGATACAAAAAGCTAGTTCATACCTTTAAACGCGAGGCTGTACAATTTTTTGTGGCAAAAAACCTTGCCGTAAATCACTTACCGCTGGAAGCCCTTCCTTCGGTTCAAACGTGAACTGCAAACTGCAAACGTGCCCGCAAGGCCGTGGTCACGTGACATTTTGTGGTTTGCCGTTTGCCGTTTCCCACGAAAAACCTGATGCTAAAGGTCCCTATTACCTCTCGACAACGGCCAGTTTTTTCAGCAGGCGATGAAAAAGTCAAGAATGGTCATAAAGTTTGATACGTATGACCCGTTGGTGATTAATCGCGGCAATCGTATTTTGATTGTGATCCATTTATACTGCTGCAGTAAGCATAAATTGTCTACGGTACTTGTAGCGAATGTTGCGAGCCCTGCTTGTTTTGTGACGTTAACATTCTAATTCAAATCAATATTCAAGATTTTTGTGTATTTTATCTCTATGTATTATATATGATTGGATTACCATTATGGAATACAATAAGAATGAACTTAGTAGCGCAATAAACATGTTGTACTCCCTACCACACCGTAACGGCCCCTTTCTTCTGTCCCCAAGGTGGCCCTTGTGAAGAGGTTCGACTGTATTATGTAATCTGCGACCTTTCCTTGCACCTACGAAGATCTGGTCGAATGAACTGTTTTTACTACCGTATTTTTTTAGCGTTCTATCGATGGTACGTTGTGCACCTGACTATGCAAATTTATATAAATCTGTACAAAATGATGTTTTTCTTGGTAAGAATCTAATTGTGGGCATTTTTATAATTTTATTTTTTTCAGTTGACTCCAGCACCCGCTCAGCAGAAGACGGACAGCAAGGGCCAAGCAACGTTTGGTCAACCTACTGTGAGCGCAACCAAGTAGGTGGAATATGAACATTTCAGTCTTCTTGTGCCCCTGTTCCTGCCTCTTACTTGATAGTTCTTACCCCAGTCCTTAACGAACGTTACTGAGTCAAACAAAAGCTTTCTTTACTTTGTATACCATCTCCTAATCCTGCTACTGGACAATTTGAATTCCCTCTTAATGGACGCCTCTATTAGTGGGACACCTAGAGTTGGTCCCTACCGTTCTTCAGTCATTTTCCTTCGACTCTCAATAAGATGGACACATCTCTAAAAGTTGGTCTCTTTCGTTCTTCATTCATTTTCTTTGATTCTGTGTAAGACGGACACCTTAAAACGGACACCTAGAGTTTACTCCTGCCATTCCTCATTCGGACACCTCATTCGGACTACCATTCTTCATATACTTTCTTTGACTCTTTATAAGACGGGCACGCCCCTAAACCGGATACCTAGAGTCTGTCTCCTCCCTTCTTCAGTCATTTTCTTTCAGTTTGACTCTTTAAGACGGACACCTCCCCAAAAAAGAAATCGAGAGTCGGTCACTACCATTCTTCATTTATCTTCCTTGACTCTCCATAAGACGAACACTTCCCTTAAACAGACTCTAAATGCCGGCATACACTTGGTGCCGATCAAAAAATATCCCTCAGTCGACTTTAAGAGCCCCAACCTTGGCATTTCTTAGGAACAACCTCTTCTTCGGTCATAACTTTTAAGTGTGTAAAATAACTTGGGGTAACGTGTGTTTGGAAATCAGGGGAATGTATGGAATAAGAATCAAAGCTCTTCTTGGAAGAACTGCATTGGATGCGCCTACGATAAGCGTGAGGTAAGTTCTGTGAAGTAGATCAACACACATTTCACAATAACTCAGTGATTTGGTCGAGATATCTGATTTATGAGAGTTTAGACCTCTCAAATGGCTCCAAATGTCTAAAACTTTAGTGGAACTGCGAACTGCACTCCAGTGGTTTCACTGCAGCGTATTAAAGATTTTCACGGTATCTCTGTGGTCTGTAAGAGTATGGACAATGGAAAATTGTTGTTTATTCGCCGAAATATTCAATATTTTGTATCAACAGCGATGTTGAACGTCGCATTTAAAGCAAAAGGAAACGGCAGAGTTCATGACCAATTTTCGCGCTATAAATGGACTATTGAATTCGCTTTTGCCGTTTTTGGAGATAGCTATTACATCGCTTAGGAGTGAATATAGTACATACGTTAGCGCAAGCGTTGGAAGAAGTCTGATGCGTCAAAGCTACTTGCGATCGCTTTTCTCAAGTTGGTGCTTTTGATACTGTAATTTCCTGTGGTACCTACCCGCCACGACTAGCTGTACCTATTTGCGAGTAGTTATATCTGTACTTTCATATTCTTATGATAAAGTTGTTGTAGCTGTTATATGTTTTGCATTTCAGAGTGGAGCCTGACCCATCAAAGGCTGTAAATCTTAACGTCACGTTTGATTCTAATGCGCCGTGTGTCGTTGGAGAGTTGTTACCAAGTAAGTGAGACCATTAGATTGACAGTAGTCTAGTAGGACTGTTGCGCAGGCAAGTGTATCCCAAGCAAGCAAACGGGTTTCCAGTTTTGCCGTCAAAACTTGCGCTTTCCATCTGCTGGATTTCCGCCGCTATCTCGGGTCCGGTCGAGGTCGCAAGCTCATTAGGGAGCTTAAGCAACGACGACGGCGACATCAACGAGAACGGCATAAAACAATAAGGTTTAGATTTGCAAAACAACAACCTTGCGCGTGCATCACCTTTTTTTTTTTGTACATTTCTTTGCCTTCGTTGCACGAGTACGACGTGAAACTTCCTAATTTTACGTGAAGACAAGACACCGATTTTCCTTTTTTTTTCGTGAACTCAGACACAGTCCTTTAGAATTCAACTCCTTAAAAAAATAGCCATCATTTGACAAATTAAAAGAGTTGGGATAAGAGCAATGAAGTTTGAAACAGCGCGAATTCACTTTTTGGGTGTCGTTTTCTCCATCGTTGCCGTCGTCGTTGCTTAAGCTCCCTAGTTACCGAACAGCGACTGATAATCGAGTCTAGACTACGAGTAGTCCACATTTTTCCTCAGGGATAGTAGAGCGAGCGAAACGCGAGCGCGCGTGAAAATCACCCCACGCGAGAGAGGCGAGACGGGGCTACTGACGGGTTAAGACTGCATTGTAGGTCAAATACTTTGTCTAGTGACTCTGCATTTTAACCATTTAATCCCCAAGAGTGACCAAGATCCATTTTGTCTTAATAATATCAACACATAATCAAGAGAAACGGTTATGAGAATTTATATAATGATCGACTAAGGGAAAATGCTTTGATTTTTTCTCCACTTTCAGCAGCATCTGACTGATATTAGCTATAGGGAATTCTCATCCAAAACGGAAAGTGATTTGCAAGGGCTTGTTCGATTAGCACCCTCTGGGATTTCAGACCTACAGGGTGGCAATTCTCCCAACTAAGTCTTAAGGCAAATGTATGGAGATCAGTCTGAAGAATTTGTGGGTGGATATCGAGGTTTAGTACAATTGGCTATGTCTTTCTAAGCATTGCGCTCAGCATTGTGTGACCAAATTCCAGGTGTTTGGAGATCTATAGGATTTTACTTTAACCTGAATCTGAGTTCTACCATACAAATTCAACTTTAAAGCAGTTTGGCCACGTAAGGACATTGATATATTGAACATTTTTACCTGAAAATTTGATTGACTCATTCCGTGGGTGGGTGTTAGCATAAGAGGTTCAGGTTGGGGGATGTTTTGTCCCCCAAACAAACCTACTGTCCTGCGTTTCAGCTGTTTCAGCCCATGTCGTCGGAGAGGACGAGGCTGTAATGAAAGCAGCAAGTGCTAAGGACATAGTGTTGAAGATATGGCACTCTAAGGATGGCCCAGTATCAGACAAGCCGCCAGCCAGGGTATGTTATACTAGCCTGTTTTCTTTCACATCACATAGTAACTGGGTTTCACAATACATACACTGTGAGTGTCAATATTCTTAGGCACTAACTAGCCGAGAGCTCAGTTTGGTCCAAAAATAATGGAGGGGGGGTCGGGCTCCCGGGTCCCTCCCCTGAATCCACCACTGCCGGGGTTAATGTTCATAGTATCCGGAGGAAATCCCCTGCCCTTTCTTCTTAGTGACAGCATATTCACAGCAGAAGGGCTTGGTTACTATTCAGAAGTGGTAAAATGACTGGCCTATTGTTTATAACTTAAACTGTTATCCTACTGAGGTCACAACGGTGTAGCACAATGCCGCTGTTAATTGAAACCACCAAGGCGTAACATTTTACTTATATTGTAATTTTGTTAAGGCCACAACGTTGTACCCGTCAAAGCGGAAGTTAACGGATAAAGATGGAGAATTCTACTTCAGGTAATAATAATAAGAAGAATACGAATAAATATGATAATATAATATGTATATTGCGCATATACAATGGAATGCGCATTACAAACGGTGAAATAAAAATAAGTCGATTAAAAGCTATCTTAAAAAAGTACGTTTTGAGGGCTGTCTTGAAAGATGTAAGGCTCTGAATGTTTCTTATCTACGCCGGAAGACTGTTTCACAGTTTGGGAGCTGCCGACTGAAAGGCTCGGTCGCCAAGTCAGTTGGTAGACACAGTGCGTTGGCCGGTACCAACAAAGTCGCATTATTGGACCTAAGGGTGGTTTCCATTTGTCAGAACTGACCGGCCAGACCATTCCCGTAGTAATGACAATTTCACTTTTAATAAAAAATATCCAGCTAGATATAGTTTGCACGAAGGAGATGGTTTTTCAGCAAAAACTCTTGGAAAAAGCTTATTGCTTTGTCAAAATGACTGGTCCGGCCAGGGTCCAGCCGGTCGGTTCTGACTTTTGGAAAGCGCCCTAAGATTATTTATATCTTGACTGGGCAGCGACCGCAATAATATCAACTGAAGTATGGTTGATTGAGTAGTTTTCAAAGGAAGCAATGCAATTTTTTTTCCGTGAATTCTCTTATAACCATATATTGTAAACTGCACTCACTAGGGACCTCAAAGTACCAGATATGTCAGGTGGCTATTGTATGGTAGTGCAGTTTGGATCTGCAGGAGCAGCCACACTCTCTAGTAAACCGGTGAGAGCATTGTTTGTTTTACGTGGAGTCCTCATTACTAGTTACTTCTTGCACAAACCCTTATTCTATTAGTAATAACATTACTTTGAAGAGAACTTGAATTTTTATTTGTAAATTTCTATTTGTTGTCTGCAATGTTAGGAAGAGCTACCTTCAGCGAAACACACCGAATACCACCTTGTGGTCTTTTTGTTGTCTGCAACGTAAGGAAGAGCTAACTTGAGCACAACACACCAAATACCAATCTGGCATCAGCTTACGACAGTCGTTTCCGATTAGTACAGTAGCTCTTCCAGACCTCTATTTTGATTGGCCCTAATAATCAGTAGCTTCTTTTGTTTTAGAGCTAGGGGTATTGTTTGTGTTGAATCATCTGTTGTTTCGTTCTGCAATCACAGACCATGTCTGAAAAGCTACTGACCTTCTTCCCTTCCATTGCACCTTAAACCTGTTCACTTACGAAGAAGCACTTCCGTTTAGCGGCATATTTTACAGAAGATTCATTTCATTTTTGTACAAGTTAATCAGTTTTATTACCTGTAAAAGAATATGTGGAGGAGAGTTGTGTTTAGAAATGCATACTACCCAGCGTTCGAAGAGTTCGTTGGCCTCGTCAGCTAAATACCTTCCCAATTCTTAATGATAGTGAGAGCCAACTATGTTCGTTAACATAGAGTTTCACTTACTCCCTCTTGCAGATCACATTCACAGCAAAGGCTGGTCTCCCTGTGAAGCTTGAACCGGAGACGATGCCTGCGACTCCTACTGTTTCCAACACTCAAAGGACCAACAGCCGAACCCTGGTGAAGACACTCAAGTTACAACTTAAGGTACTAATATTTACTGTTTTTGGTTGTGTTCTCTCCTCATTGTAATGCAAAAATGGTCCCACATCTTCTGTTACCAGTTACCAGGTCTTTGCGACGTCGTGCGTATAATTGTAGGCCAGCGTTGGTGAGCATTAACTCTGTAGAGAAACTGGTTTGTGTAAACTTTGGGAAAAAGAGAAAAGAGTTGGTTGCCTGCAAAGATTTCGTCCGTAGTTTACTAGTCATGATTTCAGTCCACTTTGAAGGCGCAAATCGCTGAAAATGAGCAAAAAAAGAAACGAAAAAAATGAACAACAAAAGATGAGTCCATTACGGCGTCAGTGAAGCGTATCACGAAGGCGATGACGATTATGTCACCAAGAAGGACGTTTACAAAGTGATGAAAGTGCAAGAGTCGATGTCTCGTAATTTGTTTGAATCCATGTTGACCAGTGTTAACAATAGAAGTGATGGTGTGATCAAAGACTTGACAGAATTGAAATCAAGTATTCGTATCACCACAATCTTCTGTCTAGTAGCTTTCGCAACCTCTTTTTAAGTAATAGTCAGGTTCACCATTGTGAACCTCAACTAGCCTTTCAGCATAGACCTCATTTCTGTAGAACTAATATCAAGCAGTTCAGTATCCTTTATCGAGGACCAACAATCTGGAATTCGTTGCCAATTTCACTAACCAGCTCTTCTTCCATATTTCCATATAAGTTTTTTGTTGGTTTGTTTGTTTGTTTATGTTTTGGATTTAACATAACGAACGTAGGGCATTTTTCTCTTTTCTGATCTGAAACCAACTAATGTTGCAGCTCTCGTTAGTTGCTGATCTCTAAACAACGTTAAAAAACCCTCGTCATGCATAATTAAAGGTCCATTTCAATACCGTATTTATTCGATTAACCGCCCTGGGCGCTTATTAAATTTTTGGACCTTGAGAGTGGGCGCTTATTCGAGGCTGGGCGCTTATTAAATTTTCACCATTTTCAGCAAGTGAAATATGTTTATTTTGCAACAAAACAATAAATGCTAATAACAAAACGCGAAGAAGTAACAAAGCAAGGTTTCTGTAAAATACTCTGAAGAAAACTCTGTCCTCGGGGAAGTCTCCTATTGGAATTTATTTACTCAAGTGGGTGTGGTGGGGGTGAGCGCTTATATGATTTTGATTTGGAGGAGGAGGGGGTGGTCGCTTATTCGAGGCTGGGCGCTTATTCGAATAAATACGGTATTCAAGATTGCTTGATACACATTTGTTGAAGAACAGCTCAAACATTTGTTGATCAGCAAAGTGGCCTTAGGCAGCCTTGAGACAAGATTGCTCACTCTGCTGTTTGTTTTAGGACAAATTTGATAACTTGACTGGTGAGAATCTGAAAGGAAAGGTGGTTGTCAAGGTAACAACACCATCAGAAGGCATTGACGAGATCCCTGCTCTGACTGGAAATGTGTACTCCTTGGAGGTACCCCTGGTTAAGGGCGTGGCCACTGTACAGAACCTCCTTATTCAACAGAACACTGCAGGCAAAGACGGACAGGAATACCTGCTGAACTTTCACACTCAGATTCCTCCTAATTCTTCGCCTCATCCTATTCCCGTGTTTACATTGGCATTCTTGTTTTACAATGGCAAGTACCCTTCGGTTTCATGTAGTGCTGACTTTCTTCTTCATGATTAAGGGCCTGTTTACATTGAGGCGGGGGACCCCAGGTAGGTGAGGTAACCTGCTTAGGTGGGGTAACCCGCCTGTCCATATAATCTCTCATTTTAATTTGATCACGTTTACATGATAAGTGGGGTGACCCGCCGCATGTTGCCTCACCTATCTGGGATCTCCCACCTCCATGTAAACAGGCCTTAACTTAAAGGATATCCGATAATGTGCTTGTTCGTTGTGTGACTTTTTTTGTTTTAAAATAGCAAATACACTGCGGTTTTCTGTGGTGCTAATTTTCCCATCCCTTATAAATATTAACATAAAATAACAAGTGCCCGTTCTTTCTGCGCAGGCTTGTCACTAAGATTTCAAGTTACCGGGTAAATACAACAAGTAGGCGGGAAATCAAACAGCTAGGGATTTCGTTTGGTTCTATTTTTCTTCTCTTTTCCAATGAAAGTAGCTGGGGGCCACATTCATAGCAGCTGGGGGAAATCCCCGGCCCCTGGCTCTTAGTGGCAGCCCAGCTGCGACCTGGTTTTGTTTACAGTGGCAGGCACACTTCGGTTTCCTGTAAAAAAAAAAAAAACTTTTAAATTCCTATTTCCCTCTTCTTGATTAACTTTAAAAAAACTTCTTTTTGTTTGTTCAACCTTTTGTTTTAGAATGGCAAGTACACTTCGGTTCTTATAAAGAAGTGTCTAATTCCACTCATTGATTAACGTATCTGCTTATTCGTCGTTTGACCTCTCTAAATCACTTCCTTTTACTTGCTTTCCACCTTGTTAGGTATTTTGTTAACTAACACAACATATTTCATAAACAGTACTATACTTTTTTGCTTTTAGATGTGAGGAAACAGCAACAGATGGCTCAGCTGACAAAAGAAAGAGATCACTTATTTGAGACGATACGCACCTACCGGCTTCTTTTTGAAACTACGCGACAACTCATTAACGAGATGCAAGGTTGGTGGCTTATTTTTGGTTCTTTGCAGTCGACCACATTAACATTCGCCCACAGAGGGAGTGAGACGCAATAATTTTGTCTTATCCTTAAAGTCTCGAGAGTAACTAACATCAATTTTCTCCTAACAATATCCATGCACAATCAAAAGAAAAGGTTATGAGAAATAATAAAATGATCATCAAAATGAAAATGCTTTGATTTTTATCAAATTCTCTCAACTAATTCTGTAAGGAAATATATGGAGATCTGTAGAGAGAATTCTTATGTGGATATTGGGACTTAAAAGATTACTCATTAAGTCAATGTTTCTCCATAAAAAGATTCAAAAGCTGACGCATTAAGTGCTAGCCCGTCATCAGAGCGAATTGAAACTTGATAACACCAGCTTTTTTTAAAGATTTGAACAACCAATTTTATAATTGAACCATAACCTTTATTTTTGTACTTTACAGTGTCAGTGCATGAAGCTTCTTTACAAGAACAGAAGCTGAGAGGAGAACTCAGAAAACAAAACATCTCTGCAAGCAGCTTAGCATCGGTAAGGAGTAATCCTGGTACAGGATCGAGCCACCCTAAGGGAGTAGTTAGAGTACCAAGCTCAAGTCAAGAGGTCGCTGTTTTCGGTTTAACCAGAGGTCCCCTCTTTTCCACAGAGACCTAGCGGAGAGTAGAACACAGGGGAGAAAACGTACGTGGTGTATGCTGGGAAGGGGAAGAGAGGAAGCGAGGTTTCCGCCATTTTTCTTTCCTTCGTTCACACGACAGCACTTTCGAGTTATAAAAGAAGTTATGTTCTTGTCGTCGGAGCTTCTGTTAGGGTAATATGAGGTGCATATGTAGCCACACTGCACTGGCTGGTTTTGATTAAAGTTGGATCTGAGTTCAACTCCTTGGCCATGCCTGTTGGTGCCTCTGAAGCTTTTACGTTTACTTTCGTTTTCTTATTTAGACGAAGTGCTAGAAAATTGTGGATGATGCCTCATTTTGTTACCGTGCGTACGTTTTGCATTTTACCGGAAGGTCTCATTTTGTAAAAATCAATTCGCACCATAGATTAGTATTGTTAAATATCCGTTTCATTTGAATGGTCACACTATAACTCTGGGAGTGAAAGAGTTAATCACTAGAGAGCTTTAGATTTGAGGAGGAGAACGAGTATGAGTATGAGATTTAACATAAAGTTTCAGAATCTAAGCCCTCTACTGCTTGTTTGTTCTTAGCCATCAGCTGTGACTACATTGATAGATGAAATGTCAAAAAAGAGAGATCAGATCGCTATTACTCCTCGCCGACAGTGTCTACTTCACCCTGGACCCCGTGGAGACTCTGGTATTCTGGGAAAGGTTTGTTCAGTTTACTTTTCGATGAGTTCACACTATGCTTTAGTCTGACAATTTTTTTCCCTTTTTCTAAAGCCATAGCAAAGAGTGATTTATAATAACCGTTATGCATGTTTACGTCAGACGAGTATATTTCACCACCCAGCCTCGTTTTGAAGTTGAAAAGTTGCCAAGTTGTGCATAAATGAATTCCCAGGGCAGAAAAGTTGAAAAGAATATTCACGCCCAAAGGGTGCAAATGCAAACAGTTTTGTTTACAAACGAGGTTTGGTGAAATTTGCTCGACTGACGTAATTATGCAACTTCAAATCTTAGTGACAGCCCTGACCTCGGTAATGAAGACACTTGGCTCTACCTCGTCGGTATACTTTTGTTGCGTGTTAGCGCTAACGCTGTTCTCTGTTCCCCCTGCAGGTAGCTCATTTAGCTCAAGTGGTAGATGACGACGTTGCGCGAGTACTGTCGTGGCACATGGCATCCGATATGGACTGTGTCGTTACTCTCACGACAGAAAAGGTTTGTTCTTAGACTTTCAAAAAAGTCCTTTTTCCGATTTAATATGGCGCGGGACGAAGGTCGACCTTTCGCGACTTCGTCGTACGCTTGGTCGCTTGCTAAGACACTCGTGCTGTCGACTTCTAGCAAGTCTAGTTCGTTCCCTAAACCTCGTGTTTTGCCTGCTGTGCTTTTCGCTCATCATAAATTCTCTCCCCTTTTGGGTAGCTAGTATGTACGTAAGTTATGCTGTTCCGCTCTATCCTATTCTACTGGACCTGTCGTTTTGTGCTCTGTAGGGTGTATTTTTTATTGCTGACAAGCGTTTGCGAGGTAGCAATACTATTGTTTGTGTAGCGAAAAATTCAATTTTGTAGTATTCTTTGTGTAGCGGCAAATTCAATTTGTGTCGAATGTAAGATCACCCGCAAACACACTTGGACATGACTATCTTAGAGGTCTTCTTATATGACGTAGTATATCCGCACAGCGCTCGATTGAATGTTCAAGTTCCTGACAAACGGACAATCTTGCCTGTTTAAACTGTCGAATTAATAAAATCAATCGAGTTAAAGGCTTCCGTGTTACCTCAGGAATGAACCGTAACTTAAGTATTTGCCTTACTGGTCGAAAGCACACTGATTTCATGAGCGAATGTTTTACATCAACGGGCAAAGTCAACGACTAATATTTTGGCACAAAACTGTAAATTCCTCTGCTGCTTATTTCCTGGTAATAATTATTACTGTCTCACTTCCATGACCTCCACACAAGTCCTTTTGTAGCTCTCTAAAATAACCAGTAACATTTATCTAGTTTTTTTGTCACTTTTTGAATAACACGGGTGGCTGTTTATTTTCAGGCAAAACAAGTGTATCGGGACTCTAATGGCCAGCAACAAGTGCTACCCTTAGATTCTATCTTCAGACGTAGTTTGCCAGAATGGAATAGGTACAGACCAAATTAAACCCAGTTATCATAGACGCTGTGTCTCTCAGGAGTTTTCAAACCCAAACCTGCTTAACAATTTTACACCATAAATCCTCTATTAAGACCCCCTCTCAAATAAGCCCCCTCTCACTAATAGGCCTCTCCTTTTCAGAGAAAGAAAGTTAATAAGCCCCCTTCTCTTTAAGCCTCCATCCCCTCCCCTCCGCTTATTATTCTTCATTATTTTAATGATAGACTGTATTAATCAGTCACGACAGTAAAACATCGTGTGGACTGATCCAGGACGGTTTATTTACCAACTAGAAGTTCGGAATTGTTATTGATTTTCGGCTGCATGACTCCAACGTCTTGTACTGGAACTTTTCCTCTTTGTATTCTAGTTCTTTATGGTGAACTGATACCATCGTTTCTTCTTAATTAGATAACCCCCCCTCTCTCTAACCCCTCCCCCACCTCAAATGGGCTTGAAATAAATAAGCCCCCCAAGGGGCTTTAATTGAGGATTTACGGTAAGTTGGTTTTTTTAACCCAAAGAAAATTCAGGGAGTGCTCAAGTAGTGCCGATCAAGTTTATAAAATTTCCTGCCCGGTTTTATGAGTTACTCTACTACATTAAAATGTACTATACTGTTATCTGCAGGTTTAACCTGGCTTACACTCTCATTCATTCGCGTAGTCAGTTGTGATGTCATATAATGGTGATCTATCTTTTGAATCTGTAGGCGAATTCATATAGAACCCTCTATTTCGGTAGGACCCTATGCGTGATTTTTCTTTCCTGAATTTGTGAAAATTAGACTATTAACTCCCAGTGCATTAGAAAAAGTTAGCAATGCTTGCAGACATGTCAGCAGTGGCCTGTGAATATGCTAGTGAGCACGCTCAAGAATTTTCCAGTGGCCTCAGAGTTTTAAGCCTGTAGCGTAGCTTAGCAATGAGTGGCCATTAATACTGACTGTTAATTTTAGAGCTCTTCCACATATACGAGGTCAGGGCAGTTACAATCCGTCTGGTAACCCTGTGTACGCAAGAGATATGTTGATGTTTCCAACAGAGGCGGAAAATTGCAAGCTAGGTAATACGAATGTGTATGCAAGAGTACTTATTGTAGGGCCTGTGCGACAATAGACCATTAGATAATCATTAGCCTGCTCTGTGTTCTCTAGTTTAAAAACAACTGTTGGGCCAACGCTCGAGAGGCGCCGGCGGAATCTCATGCGCGAGTGGCAAGCAGATTGGCTCATTCGATAAGTTCTTGAATGGAGAACTTCTCTAAGGCCAAGGTAATTTGCTTGAAAGAAAGCAGTGCTGAGGGACGTTGAATAGAAATGAATTTTCTGTTTAGGAAGGTGAACGTTTCGCTTACCCGTTGTCAAAGAGATACCCATTGGTGGAGCTCCGTGATTAGTTGCAACAAGCTAGCGTAAACGGCAAGAATCAGTTACATGCTCCCCCCTCCCCCAAATTAGCCGGACGACAGTTTCTCCAAACAGGCAGCTAAACATTGGCTAGTATAGGGTACAAATACGTTAATCCCAGGAAACAGTCCCCCTTAATGCACAACATCCACTTCCCGTTTGTTGACATTTCCAGTGATTCCACGCTCAGAGGTAGAAATAACTTTGTCAAGATACATTGTTATGGGTTTAGGAACTACCACTCTTACGCTCCGTGAACATCTACCAATGCTTTTTGGGTATCAGAGGTCTTTTTATTTTCCTCGCGTGCGGTGGGGTGCTTCGATGTCGGTAACAGACCGAAGCCGCGAGTCACTTTCACCAGAAATTACACTAGAAACCTCTTTGCTGTCCGGGGTATACAAAGTTCTTCGTGACTGTCAAAAATTTTCCTCAAACTCAATAACAAATAAATGTATCGAGAAAACAGACAAATTCTATACCATGAATTGCGACACCTAAATCAAACACTCGAAAGAGTTTTTCATTTGAAATCCAAATAACCTTGACGTCACTATGCCTCATTTTTCAACTCACCTCTCGTTTTCTGCCCTAGGGGGTACTCCCTATAATCGCCTATACGGAGAGACTCCGCCCGAAAGGGATACCTTTTTCAGACTTCAGGTATATGGAAGGGTTGGGATTTTACCAGTTGAATTATATGAAAGTGGTGGGAAATCTGTCATTTGGGCCTGTGAATGGGCTCAAAGGGCAGAACAGATGAATTTCAGTGTTATGGCTTTATAAAGTCGAGAAAACGTTTAATTTTTGTGATTGATTCCTACTTAAAGGACAATGCATTTGCAGCAGTTAAAAGGGGTACCTTTTTCGTGAAAAATGGTATATAAAAGGGTAAGGGTTGGACCTCGGGGCGTAGCCTCCCCGTATAAAAATTTGTTGAGTACGCTCCCGGGATTTTCTGCATGTTTTTTGAAACTTTCCTCGGGTTTGATTCATTGCTTGTCTCATTGCAGTGTTCGGTATGTTACTGGGTGATACACTGATCCTAGATGACCTGGACTGTGCAAATAAATACAGACAACAGGTGAGTATACTTGTTGATGATGCATTTCAAGGTGATGTTACATCGGACGATTCGCAGCAACGATTTTTAGCGCTAGACAGCGTTGCAACATTGTTGTGACATTGATTCAAATGGTTGCAACGTTGTTCCAACATTGCCGGCAATGCTGTGCCACGGCTGGCTATTTCATGTTGTTAATATTGCCAATTAAGCTTCCTTGTGCGCAATGAAACTAAACGTAAGGGGAAAAATTTTCTTGTAAACGACAAAATCACAGCTTCTCGTCAAATAAATGTCTCTCAAGCATTATATGAAACGTTAAATACGAGCAAAATGAACTTTGGAAACTGTTAGGCTAACAAGTTTTCAAAAATCGGTAATTGCAATCCGTTTTAGTCTTCCTCAGCTGAGTTTGTCCGCCCCTGCCTCTTTTTGTATTTGCTGTGCCATTAATGCTTTGTTTAAATGTTTTGAGCGGTTACGGTATTTTTATGTTTCACTCAATTTGGTGGCGGTTTCTACTGTTAGAATTTTGATACGTAATTCATGACTCAGATCCTTTAACATCAATGTACTAGTGACGACATGACATTTTTACATTTAGCCTATGTAGCTGGCGGGATTGTTATGCCCTATTCAAAACGGGAGAGGCTCGGAGAGGGTTGAATCCACACCAGGCTCCAGGCTACCGTCCAGTGGATAACTCAATTGGTTTCCCTTATACCTATTCGCTAGACAGAGATTTATTTATCCAGTAGATAGCGCTGTCCAACGTTTGAACGACGATGGGGCGGGTTTTTCGAGCCTTTAAGCTAATTGCAAAATTACAGACATAGCTGTGGCTTTGAGATAAAGCCACTAACAGACGACTGCAATGCAATAAAAAAACTATTGATTTACGCCTGACTATAGTGAACTTAACCAAGGACGTTTTAGAGCGACACGCACCAACCAGAAGTGGCTGTTTTGCATCATTGGTCAGCAGTTTTTTTCCCAAATTAAATTTCTGGCAATTCGTCTCAGTAAGAGTAAAGATACCGTATCTATTCGATTAACCTGCCCTGGGCGCTTATTAAATTTTCACCATTTTCAGCAAGTCAAGTATGTTTATTTTGCAACAAACAATAAATGGTAATAACAAAACGCGAAGATGTAACAAAGTAAGGTCTCTGTAAAATGCTCTGAAGAAAACTTCGTCTTCGGGGAAGTCTCTTATTAGTACTTATTCAATTTCAATTTCAATCTCATTGTCACTCAAGTCAATAAGTGAATTCTCTGGTGCTGCCTCCTCGATGTCCGACATCGGGGGGGGGAGGGGTGGGCGCTTATTCGAGGTCGGCGCTAATTTGAGGTTGGGCGCTTATTCGAATAAATACGGACTTAACAAGGCACATTTGTTAGCGTCAAGGTAATGAGAAAAGGCTTCACTTCCGGTTGACGTGTTACGTCCAGAAATGTCTTTGCTTAACCTCCCTTGTGTATTGTTATGATGTAGGTTGTAAAGCACACTCATTGTCCTACGATTCTTACAAGAGGAGGAGATCGCATCAGAAGTAACGGTAAGTTATTTAGCCCATTAACCTTTAAGTGACTAGTGTTTAAGATTTCTCCTTATTCTTACACTGTTCAGTCAAACATAAATATCGATAACATGCTGAGCTGGCAGGTCGCGCAATATCACGTGATCATGGAATGACGCAATGGTGAGGTAGAATTTCTCCTTATTCTTACACTGTTCAGCCAAACATAAATACCGTGAGAAAAGCACATGATCAGCAAGTGAAAAAAGGTCTTGATTACGCAGGATATGCGTGGAGAACGTTGTGGAGAATGTTTGTATTAATTTTAGGGTTTAAAGGGTCGCACCAATCCCCGTGATACTGTTTCTTCTAGTGAGAATTTTAATCTCGATTGTTTTGCTCTCTTGCAAAGGTAAATTCGGCGGACTGCAGAACAAAGCTCCTCCTCTTGAGAGAATGCGCGGCGCAGTGTTCGCTGCGCCTCTTCCGCTGACATTCCATTCACTGACAACGCAGATTGGTGAGTGACAACTAAAGCTCTTCTCATTTTTCACCGCCAATGTATAACTCCAACATTGCTGCTAATGTTTTTCTTTATTCATTATGTTGTCAGAACAACTACAAGCTTTTAAACAAGCCGTTATCAAACACACACAAGCCAAGGAAGAACTTTCGGTAAGCTTTAAAGAAGCGCATCGCATTGGTTTTTTTCCTTTCGTACACAAACCCACCCTGCTGTCAGTCTTCTTTTCTTGAGAGCGGATGAGAAGGGAAGTTCTGCCTGAATCGCGTCGAGTCTTGTTTTAACCTTTTAAGTCCCAAAAGTGACCAACGTCATTTTTCTTTAACAATATCCGTATATTGTCATAAGATGAGGTTATGAGAATTAATAAAATGATCGCCAAAGAAAAATGCCTTTGATCATTTATTGAATTCTCTCAACTTATTCTTAAAGGAAATGTATGGAGATCACTTTGGAGAATTTGTATGTGTATATTAATTGGGGCTTAGAGGGTTAAGGCCGCTTTCCTTCTTATCGTATAGGTGAGCGCGACCCCATAACTTAAAGATTTGAATCCGCTTTCACTACTTTTTCTGTTCAGCTCGCCAGTTTATTTTCAAAACAAATCGTTGGTAACGGTTAGCTGATTTACGAATTTGATCTTGGAGCATTTGAAGGGAACACTTTCTCTATCTCCTTTCTCTAACAGCTGCAGCTACAGCACGGACAAACGCAGGAGATGAAAATTAAACACCGGGAATGCAGAGAGGCTGAAACCCAGTTACGCATGATTGAGGAGCGTTTGGGCATGACTCCGACCCAGTACAATATGCCTCCCAGTCCGGCCACTATGCTGCTGACAGAAATCAACACTCCACCTACAAGAACAGCTACCTCGCGTCGCTCCAGCGCACGAGCTGCGGCTGCGGCTACCGCTTCTCCGACCTTATCGACTCCGGTCGTAAATGGTTCGAGCAACGCATCGGGAAACACAACTTCTTCGCGAACGAGGCGAGGTGCTGCGATCTCCCCTGAAGAAGTAAGAACGAGTAAACGAACGCGCCGATGAACAGAACGCAGCTTAAAATAGTTATTCTGGAGGTTGACACTACTTTAAACATACCGCAGTGGATTTACAGTCAAAACCTTAAAGAACTTGCAAACATGATTTTGTGGTACCGATCATTTCTTAAACGAGGAAAGTCCGCCATGGAAGATGCTTCGCTATATTGTGCCATGCTTAAAAACCTGGTCCTCGTGCTCATTTAAGTTTACGGCTTTCCTTGTAAAAGATCTACTGACTGAAAAACTGTACCTCTGAAGACTATGAGGAGATTCCATTTCTTTACAGATTGTAACAATTTTTCACTTTGCTACTGTATCTATTTTTCACACCCTCCTTCTAGAAGTTTATCATTATACGTGCTTTTGAAATTTACTTTGAGAACTTAGCGTAAAATTGATATTGTGCTCTGATTCTCTTTCATGCCGGATTATCTCCCGAAACTAAACCAAAAGTGGAGCCGACGTTTTCCAAGTTTACTCCATCTTCTTCAGTCTTGACTATACACGTCCTATCTGAGGTTGAAGAGGATACGATGTTTTTTTTTTTATCTCTTGGTTTTAGCTAAAAATTGCCTAAAATTGCATGACATTGCGCTTTTATATTAGAGACCTTAAGATCGGAGTGTTTTGGCATTTCCGCCAACCGCGAACGTCAAGAATTCACGTGACCAGTGCCCTGCCGTCGGAATTTGGGTTTGAGGTTCACATTTGTACAGCATGAGCACGCTCAAGGGTTATAATAAGTGATTTACTGCAAGGTTTTGCACCCCAAAACATCCTAATACCGCGTTTGAGAGGAAATACTACTTTTTAGAACTCTTCCGCATATTAATCATCAATTCGTTTTCATAGGAACGTATTTTTTGAAGACAATTTCTGAGCTAAAATAGTTTGCCGTTTGCAGTAAGATGGCCAAACCTCGATCTTAAGGTCTCTATTCTTAATTTCAATTTGACTGAAATTCAGTTCAGTAGTCTTATTTTTAACCTTACTACATCCTACACGCCACTAATTTATCTTCGTGTTAAAAAGGTATTACGGTATTAAAAGGTACTTTTTACCTCAAAGTACAGTATGAGATTAGTGGCAAAATGAATGTTGAGAAATTGTCCGTTTTGTGTTAACGCGTGGAACTCGTTCGGTGCTGTGTTGAATGACAATTGCCGTTTTCAAACTGGAGACGGATTATCCGTCTGAGAATTATCCGTTGGATTATCCGAGATGTGAAAAAGACGATAAACGTATTCACACCAGAGACGGATTATCCGTCTGAGACGAATTATCCGTTGGATAATTCGCGTCAGATAGATAATACGCCGTAATTTAAAAATGGAACGGTCTTAATTTTGCATGGACAATCGGCCTGACTCAATCCATCTGTTTTTCCGTCAATTTTGACGGATTTTGAAGATGGATTATCCGTCTCAGACGAATAATCCATCTCAAGTGTAAAAAGGCCGTTGTTCAATTTGGACGGATAATTCGTCTGACTTTATCCGTCTTTTAGACGGATTTTGAAGACGAATAATCTGTCAAAGACGGATTATTCGTCTCGAATTCACACTAGACAGATAAACTCATCCCATTTTTCTACCACCCTCGTCCCCAGTGTCTTCTCGCTTTTCAAAAGACACTGGGTCGAGGTTGTTTTTTTTCCTGAAAAGCCTGGCACTAGACACTGGAAAGGTGCGTTGCAACGTGAAGGATTCGTAGAACAAAAAGTTTAAAGCACTCATCCCCCAGAAGGTACTCCTGGGAATTCTTGGTTGGGGTGTGCCGCCCCGTTCTCCAAATCCTAATCCTATATCAGACCTAAAACTGTCATTTTTCACACCCGTTTTCAGATCTCACCTCTAAAAAAAACGATTTCTTAAAATCCATTTCGAATTCGTTCTTACTCATTTGGAATTAAAACCATAAATACGTTCATCCACTCCCGTAGTTCCCTCGAAAATCATACCCGACTCCAGATCAAAATGGGCACACAAGGAAAAAAAAGCGTTAAAAAGAACACGTGGAGTGAAAGCGTCTTTAATAGTACCGAGAAGCGCACCCCCCGCAAGGCGCCTTTGTATCATTAATAATACTTGTTTGTCCCCGCCATTCTCCTCCCCCAAACAAAATTGTGTAAGCGTAAGCAATGTCTTCAATTTTTCTTGCGACGACTGTAATACGCATGAAAATTTAGCAAAAAAGGGTTGCGCAAAATTTGGGCGAGGGTGTTTGTTTGTTTGTTTGTTTTCTCACGGACTGAGTCTCGAGGTCAATAAATACGTTGCCCGGCTGCGGGACCACTGCGGCAAAATTCCCAACGGGAAAGATAGGTAGTCAATCAGAAAACAGTATTTACTTCAGCTCACCCACTCGCGAAAGCTGCATATGAAAATGTGAGCAGATTTACAGGTTTGGTTTGTGAGATACCGTAAAATTCCGAAAATAAGCACGTCCATATATAAGCCCCCCAAACTCGTAACGCAAAAAACCCTCCGTTAAATCGCCTCTCCAAATATAAGCCACCCGGGGCTTGTACTTGGAAAATTGCTCTCAAATACAAAGTAAAACACAGCAAAAAAAGGTAAATTTACTTCCAACTATAAGGCTAACCCAATCGATTTCGAAACGCAAATTTCCCTTCGTAGATAAGCCCCTCCAAAAATAAGCCCCTCAAAACGGTCTTTGTAAAATATAAGCCTCGGGGCTTATTTTCGGAATTTTACCGTATGATTAGGCGTATGTGTGACCTTAGGATTGTGCCCTGTTCACGTTGTGACCTTCGACCGCGCTCGTGATATTATAGTGCGCGCCTCTCACTCGACTGTTTATGAACCAAACACGAACGCTTCCTGCAAGTAACAGCAGATACTGTGTTCCTTCAATTTTTTCTGACGTGGAATTTAAAAAGGACAAGTAACAGGTATGATAAATGTACGTAATCACTTTTCATTTTTCGGAGAAGTTAAGGAATTTTTGCTCTACCGTTAGCGTTTTTAGAACTGAAGCATTTGTTCCTTCTTCACCTTTATAATTCTTCTGACATTTATTTGGTTTCAGTTTTTTGAATCTACTACTTAATGGTAAAAGCTTCCTTATTTATTGCAGCAGTTCTTAGTGACTAGGTCTAACTACAGCAAACAACGTCAATTCTCAGAGTATCACTGCTTATCATGGAAAGGCCATGAGATAATTTAGAGAGTATTGTCGATGACCCCTAAACAAAATCGTCATCAGTTTTTGAGAGCCACATGCAATATCAGGCCAATATCGACAACTGAGTGGAACATTATCAGGGAAAGAAAATGTAAAGAATATCACCTTCACAGTAGATTTGTTTTTAACGTTTTTCTCCAGCTGCTAATTAGTAATTGGTTAAAGCTAATTTCTTGGGATTTAGCTACTGTAGGTAGAAATATATAGAGGTGCCCTTTGATTAATCCTTCCTCTCCGCTACTATCTACCAAACACTGAACTTGGACACCAGCAACTGTTTTTTTTATTTTTTTTTTATCGCACAGAAAATAAGTGCTCTAGACAAAATGCTCCAAGTGACGACGCATTGATGATGGTATGGCATATAAGGTTTGTTAGTACAAGAGGCACTAGCCTCACTACCCTCTGTCCATGACTGCTTTCTCCCTCCCCCGGATCATTATATGGGTACATGATTATCCAGCTTAAAATGAGAAGTCGATGCAATCCATTTGTTGTCCTTACCTTAAGTAATTTCTGATGGCGAACTAGCTCGCGAAAGCACAGGTTTTTTTCTGTTTTGTATTTTACACACACCGAGAAAACAGTTTTCTAAGCGTGTGAAACCTTGGGGCGAAAACCTAAAGCCGAAAAAGGCGTCTGCTCTCGAAGGCTTATGGCGAACGGGCCAGTTTCGAATTATCAAAACTACTTTCTGAGGGAAATAAACCACAAATGGACTATTCATCTCCAACTTCAA